CAATTTCATAGACTTCCCCCACCATGATATCTTGTTTCCATTTGCATTTATTTCATTTCACTGGACATGAAATTTTTATTGGTTATTTGTGTTTAGCCTCTAGTGATATATATTTTTTAAAGATTTTATTGGGGAATTGGGGGAGGGGAACAGTGTTGGGGAATCGGGGAAGGGGAACAGACAAGTTGCTGTCCTTTGGTTCTTCAGTCTAATTGTGGAGGACGTCACTTCACTGGCCCATGTTGGTATTATCATTGTGCTCTTCCCAGGTGAGGCAGATCAGTCACCAGCTTCTGGACGGCCGCTCACAAAAGCTCACGCCCGCTGCCAGCCAGCCTCATGGCAGCCCAGCTCCAGGTCGAGCTGTTGTTCACCATCTTAGCTGTAGATGGCGCAGCGTCACTGGCCCTCATGTGGGATCTGAACCGGGGTCCTGCTTCTCAGAGCTGGCCTCCCAGGCCAACTCCTAACCCATGCGCCACTTGGCCGGCCCTCTAGTGATATGCTTTTCTTATTCTTTTGCCATTTTCCTGTAGGGCATTCATTTTTTTCTTTTTGTTAAAGATATTTCTTTTTTTCATGTTAAAGATATTAGTATATATTCTTTGGCTTTTCTTTTTTTAGTAGATTTTATTTTTTAGAGCAGTTTTAGGTTCACAGCAAAATTGAGAAGAAGGCACAGATTTCCCATCTACGCCCTGCCCCCACCTGCACAGCCCCCCCACTATCAATACCTCCACCAGATGGTGCGCTTGTTACAGTTAATGCACCTACATTGATACATCAGTATCAGGGTCCACAGTTTTTATTCGTATGGATTGTGACAAATGTGTAATGTCATGTATCCGTCATTATAGTATCACACAGAGTAGTTTCACTGCCCTAAAAAGTCTCTGTACTCTTCACTTTCCTTCACCTCCATCCCCTGCCAACCACTGATCCTTTTACTGTCTCTATAGTTTTGCCTTTTCCAGAATGTCACATAGTTGAAATCATATAGTACGTACCCTTCTCAGGCTGACTTCTTCCACTTAGTAACGTGCAGCTCAGGTTCCTCCCTGTCTTTTCATGGCTTGATGGCTTGTTTCTTTTTAATGCTGAATAATGTTCTATTATTGTCAGGATGGACCACAGTTTGTTTATCCATCACCTACTGAAGGGGGTCTGGGTTGCTTCCTAGTTCTGGCAATTATGAGGGGCCACCAGATGATGACATTATTTCCAGCCCCGCTCCCCAATCTGCTCCACCACCTCTCTGCGCACACCCAGCACCACCCTCCAAAACCTGCATGCCCTTCCCAACGTACAGCGGGGCTGACCGAGGCTCCCACAAACCAGATCCAGGAGGGAGACTCTCCGACAGTCGCAGGCCGAGGACCCCTGCTCCACAGCTGTGGTCGGGAGGACTGGTCCCTGGGGCAAGGAGCCCCCAGAGAAAGGGCCCTCCACACACCTTCCTGCAGCAACTTGCCCCTGGGCAGACGTCTGCTTTAGCCCTTTTCCAACTCCTTAGGGGAAAATTATTTGCATTAATTAATTGATTGATGAATTAGTGCAAGGCAGTATGCTTGGTACCCACAGCTGGGGCTCCAGTGGCTGAAACTAGAGAAAAGTTGGTGGGAGCCTCCTTTATTTAGGGCCCATCATAGCTCAGGACTGCACGGCCATCTAGGTCATCTAGGATGACGTGTGTTTCCCCTTCAAGACCAGATGCCACGGATCTTGGTGGCTTATGCACCCCCAGCTCCTAGAATAGGCCTGGGACAGAACACAGAGGCATTTAATACTCACATCTGGGATGAACATGTAAAGTGTCTGGAAATCTTGAAGTCATAGTGAAAAAAAAAAAACTGTAAGGAAATAAAATCTCGGGGAAATTGAAATATGTCCAGTTTTAACTTTTTAATTTTTTTACACATGTGGAGCAGTTTTGTTTTAAGAATCTTCACATTGTGCTGCGTGTAATTTGGCTTGTCCATAAAATTATTATACGTGGCGCATTGAAGTTAAAGAATGGTATATTTAGGAAATAACTCCCAATATGCTGTCAGTTAGAAATGTTTTATAGATAAAAATAAGAGAGGCTAAACTTTAGAAATATAGCATTTCTTAGTTCTTGTCCTCTGCTGAGGATCACCAAAATGGAAAAACAGAAATGAAAGAGGCAGCATCACCACAGCAAACCATAGCAAGTGACTTCTTTCTCCACCTGGTACCTGGTTCCATGCCGGGCACAGTCGCAGATGGAAAATGGCCTCAAATTCTTTGCAACTCGTCCTTTCAAGAGTGGTGTCTGTTCTCTACCCCCTGACCCTGGGCAGGCCTTGTGAGTTGCTTTGGCTGTTAGGAGGTGGTGTAAATGACATTTTGTGAGTTCCAGGGCCCAGCCTCAAGTAGCTTGGGAATTTCTGCATCCTCCTTCCTGCTGCCTGCTGCTTCATGAAGAAGCGCGGGTACCGATGACAAGACCAGCTGACAGTCAGCTCCAGAGCCCCCAGACCTCATGGATAGAAGCCATCTCAGACCTTCCACCCAAGTCCAGCCCCCAGATGGCTATAGTAGCCTGAGTAAGCCCGGCAGAACAGCCTGACAGCCTCGCCTAACCAGGAGAACCCTGATTGAATAAAAGGCGGTTGTTTCAAGTTGCAACATTTGAACTCATTTGTTACACAGCAATAGATAACTGACACATACAGGAAGTCCCTGCTTTCAGAAAGAGCTTGAGGGGGAGGAAGAAACCTCCAAAATGATTGAGTTGTGGTTCTCAAGGTCAAAGAGACATTGGGGCCAGATTTTAACCTTTTTAAATATATAAACTTACACATCTGCTCTTGTTTTTCTTTATTCTGAGCCTTTTGAGTCAGCTGAACAATAAATTGATAGAACCCCAGTGATAAGCCCCAAGCATAGTGTCCTGAATTCATTCACCAATCAATTAATTAGTGCAAATAATTTTCCCCGACGGAGTTGGAAAAGGGCTAAAGCAGACGTCTGCCCAGGGGCAAGTTGCTGCAGGAAGGTGTGTGGAGGGCCCTCTCTCCGGGGCTCCTTTCCCTCAGGGACCAGTCCTCCCGACCACAGTCGTGGAGCAGGGGTCTTCGGCCCACCACTCTGTCAGAGTCTCCCTCCTGGATCTGGTTTCTGGAAGCCTTGGTCAGCCCTGCGGTGTGTTGGGAAGGGCATGCAGGTTTTGGAGGGTGGGGCTGGGTGTGAGCAGAGAGGCGGTGGTGAGGATTGGGGACAGGGGACTCTGGTGGCCTCTCTCGGGCTGGTTGGAGGCGAGCCTGGCGTGGGCGGGGGGCCATGCCGAGCACACGCTCTTCTGGTCACTGCAGCGCTGCTGACTGCTCAGTAAGCAGATTATGAGACACTGCACAGAGTGGCCTGGTGGGGGGCTGTCCTCAGACTCGTGACTTGCCTTTTTTTGCAAACAATGATTTCATAGTGCAGCCCAGTTAGAGTCCACCCGGGACGGAGGGCAAATCCATCAGCCTTTTTGGGTCCGAGTTTGCCGTGTGGCCACAGTGGTTCAGCTTATCTGCCTTCCTTCCCATCTGGCTTTCAGTTTATACCTGAGTCTGTTTCCTCGCAGAGCCCAAGAGCCCCATGGAAACGGGAAGACAGCTCAGCCCACTTTGTTAGACAGGTAGGGAAGACGGGCTCCGGGCTCACCCAGGAGCAGCAAAGGTCCTCAAAAGGCGTCTGAGGAAGTTCCGAGTTGCGAGGACTGTGCTTGAAACATCCAAAGTAGCTTCATTTAGAGACCTTGTGCCCACAGGAGGAAGAGGTGCCCAGGGAATCGCCTCTGACACTTACATTCTGGACAAAGCAGGATAAAGTGATTGCAGCCGCATCTGTCAGATGCTGGGGTTGCCGCCCAGGGCCGACACTTAGCTTTACTCTGATTGCCCTTCAGCAGGCAGTGGTTACATGTTACTGTTAAAGCTCAAGAGACAGCGTTTAACCGGTGGTGTGGCTGGGTCCGTGTAATAAAACATTTTGCAACAAGGGTTCTAAACGAGGGTTATAATTCCTAAAATTCAGGATTTTTTTTTTTAAGATTTTATTGGGGAATTAGGGGAGGGGAACAGCATTGGGCAATTGGGGAAGGGGACCAGACAAGTTGTTCTTCAATCTTCCTTGTGAACGATTTTTTTTTAAAAAAAAGCAGAATAAATGGGGTTGTATTATTAAACTTGGAACTTAGAAGCAGTCAAATATGTTGGTGAGGACACAGGTCACAAAGCTTGGGTCCAAATCCCAACTCCACCAGCTGCTGCTGGCTGTGTGACCTCAGGCAAGTAACTCAGCCTCTCTGGGCCTCAGCTCCTCTTCTGTACTAATGCTCCAGGGGGCACTAACGCTACTCGTGTCGTAGGATTATTGTGAGGGCTATACGTGATAAGAACACATGAGAAGTGGCTAACCCAGGGCCAGGACCATGCTGACTGATTAGTAAATATTCACTATTACTATTAATGGTATTAATAATCTAAATGTTTCCTGACTGAACTGATATTCTTTCAGGAGCCCAAACAGAAGCCCCGTGCTGTCTAAAATGGTCAGGAAACAGCCCTGAGGACCTGGGTGCCCAACACGGAGCACTCCACAACCCTTTATTCTGCACAAAGCCTTGTTATTATCCTCACTTTGCAAATAAGGAAACTGAGGCTCACAAACGCTTGGTGACTTGCCCAAGGTCACAGTGAAGCGAGGACTCGTCAGTATGACCTCATCTGTCATGAACCAGAATGGTATTTGATCGCGAAAATGCTTTCCCATCCACACGAAAATGCCACTGGGCGTGACATGTAGTGGATTCGTTCGTTCATTCATTCATTCATTCATTCATTCATTCATCCATGGGTGTCTGGAGAGCCTGCTACATGCAGGCATGTTCGGCCATGTCTGTGAATGGGTGACTAAACCTGGCGTGCGTGTTGAAATGGTTTTTCCCACACCTTCCCTGTCCTTGACCATCACGTGACCTGCTCCTCCAGGTCCCCCTCCAGCGCAGACGCCCACCTGCGGTTCCAGGACAGTGACAGCCTCCTGCAGACCCCGCGCTGGGACGAGCCACAGAGGGTGCGTGCCCTGGAGCAGATCTGCGGCGTGTTCCGCGTGGACCTGGGGCACATGCGCTCCCTGCGTCTTTTCTTCAGGTGAGAGCCGGCCCTTGGCAGCTTCCTGGAAGTTGGCCTGTGTGCGGGGTTCCCCGGTGGACAGCACTCGGGTCCACTAACGCCGGCTTCCCAACATCATTGATGTTGTCAGCTGTCCCGCAGGAAGGAGGGGTCCGGGTAGCTCCCCAGCACTCTCACCTGCCTTCAGGGTGGTGGTGGCCAGCTGTTGCTTGGGACTCTGGCTGAGGGCCGGGGGACAAGCCAAACCGGGCTGCAGAGAGTGGTAGCTGCAGGCTGCTCCCCGTCACCCACTGAGCGGCTGTTGGGATGGGACGGGCTTTCCGGAGGGAGGCCCCCTTTCTTTCATGATGGGCGAACCATTCTGCCCAATAGCCATATCAAATCCCTTCTCCTGGAAGGCGGGGTGGCCCAGCCTCAAGATAACACCAGCCAAAGGCCTGTGCTTAGAAGAAGCAGGCTGACACCAGAGGGGGTTTCCAGACCCAGATTCCTGCCTTTTATGGAAGGGCAGCCAAGGTCGGGCTGATGGCCCCTTAGATGGGCAGTGACCTCACTGGAGGATTTTCCCAGAGTTCCACTCACTCCTAGTGGAGGAGGTTCTCTGAGGGCCGCCTCCCCAGGGTTCAAATTCTGATCCCACTAACGGCATGCACGCCCCACTGTCCCTCAGAGGACGGCTATGAGGCCTGGCAGGCAGGGCTGGGGACAGAAGGCCGCTGTGGCAGGTTGCCCCAGGCGCGGGGACTGAGGACAGTCCTACTTCTCAGCCTCCCCAGGAAAAAGCTATTTGCCTTCCCCAGCCAACAGGGTGATGGCTTCTGTTGGGGTATAATTCTGTCCTGTCCCGCCAGCAGCCAAACTCCACAGGGACTTCCTGTTTCCTGCCTCTGAGGTCGATCATACTGGCCTCTGATTATACTTGGAAATAAAACCCCGTGTTTACATACCCCTCCCTTCTCTCACCCCCTCCAATGGCGGCCCAGCGATGAGGCCTGCACCAGCGGCCAGCTGGTCGTGGCCAGCCGGGAGAGCCAGTACAAGGTCTTCCATTTCCACCATGGCGGCCTGGACAAGCTGGCAGACGTGTTTCAGCAGTGGAAATACTGCACCGAGACGCACCTCAAAGACCAGGTAGCCCAGAGGACGGTGGGTGTTGCCCAGGCTGAGGGGAGGTCCCACTCCGGAGACACCTGGCCGCTGAGCCCCCCCCCCCCCCCCCCCGCTCCTCCCTCAGGGGTCCAGGACTCCCGGGTCCATCTCTGTCCTCCTAGGTCCAGGCCTCGTGGGGCGCGACCGTGGTCGCCGGGGGCTGGTAGGGCAGCAACTTTGGGCTTGAAACATGTGCCCAGGGCTTCTTATAAAGTCAGTGCTCTGCACTTGAAAAATCATGTTTTGACATGGCTTCCTGCCATATTTTGCTCAATCTACATACAAACGTAATGAGCTCTCTTTAATTATTGGTTTAAGATACTGTATGTGCTTATTAGAAATGGGGCCGACTTTAAAATTCTCTTCCTTCCCACCGAGCCTCCTGCTGGCTCCCCTTATTACAGTAGCATGGCTTTTCTCCCTCCTACATTGAGCAACCTTTGATTTTTGAATTAAATGTCAGCTGCAGTTTTGCCCTGGATTCGTGACTGCCCGTGGAGACAACCTGACAGGCGGGCTCCCCGCTCACAGAACAGCAATCCCTTTGTATGTGGCCAATCACATGTAATTTATCGCAGGCCCTCCTGGCAGAGGCAGAGGGAAGTAGGGCCGAACGAGGCATTAATTCCGTTTTGTGGCCGGGGTCGGAGGGGAGTGGGGGCGGCGAGGGGGCCGCCGGTCGGTGGATGGGAGTGGGACAGGGAGCCCCGCGGTGGGGGAACTGCCGTGAAGACGAAGGTATTTTTGTTTTAATTGTGCCTAATTACAGTTGCCATTTAGGGGTTTATGTGCAGGGGAGAGGCACCCCCTCCTTTCAGAAGAGAGAGGGAAGGCTTTCGTGTCCCTGAAGAGCCTCGCCGGCTTCCAAAGCCGTGCCCTGGACACACATCTTCCCGCCTTCCTCCCGTCCAGCAGGTTGCCGACGAAAAGACGTGCATGCAGTTCTCCATCCGACGGCCCAAACTGCCCTCCTCAGAGACACACCCAGAGGAGAGCATGTACCGGAGGCTGGACGTGTCCGCCTGGCTCGGGCACCTGAACGAGCTGGGCCAGGTGGAGGAGGAGTACAAACTACGCAAGGTAAGGCCTGGCGCCCCGCGGGGGCCGGGGCCGGGGTGGGGGCCCTGGGGGTGTCGGCCCCCTTGTGTGAGGAACTGTGTGAGCACGCCCAACCAAGCAATCAAAGCCGCTGCTTCGGGTTTGGGGGTCCCGCCTCAGTCTGTATAGAAGAGTTCGCGGTGGAACGCAGAACTTCCCAAACCGGGGATTAGGCCGTGACGTGAGAACGACACGTCCATCCGAGAGCCACCCCGGGGGGGTATTGACATTGAAATGAGCCCGGCTGTGTCCTGTATGGGAATGGGGGGCCGGCACTTTCCCCTCCCAAACATGTGCAAATTGCAGCCACTCAATCGAGGCGTCAGTTGTCAGAAGGGGCAGCCAAGCTACCAACACACGAATCTCCGGGGATCTGGGGGTGCTTTGAGCGGCCCTGTGTTGGCCCCTCCCCAACTCCTGCCTCTTCCTCCAGGCCATTTTCTTCGGCGGCATTGATGTGTCAATCCGGGGGGAGGTCTGGCCTTTCCTGCTGCGTTACTACAGCCACGAGTCCACGTCGGAGGAGAGGGAGGCACTGAGGGTGCAGAAGCGGAAGGAATACGCCGAGATCCAGCAGAAAAGGTAGCCACCCGGACCCAGAGGGAAGCACCGTTGGAAAAGGCAATTTGAGGTGCAATTCAGCATCGATAATATGTTCCGTGACCCATCGTCGCTTTCAAGAATGGGTCTCCACGGACCGTGAGTGATAGGGCTAGAGGAGTTCAGCCATTATCCCAGGCTCTCTTTAGCTCACATGTCAAGGTTTTAGAATTCTTTTTCTACAGACTTAAGTAGGCGCTGGGGTGGCGGCGGGGCCTCCAGTGGCCGCCCGGGAGCCCCGATGGTTGAGGTCCATCTGGGCCTGGCTGGCCCCTGGGCTACAGTCAGCTCTCCTCCCGCGAGGCCAAGTTCATGTCGGGGAACCCCTTGGATCCACCTACCCCCCAAGTCAGTGGGGAGCTGGAGGGTCTGCCAGAGGCAGCAACACCCCCAGTTCCCATCCAGGGTTAGGGGTCGGGAGGGGTGGAGCGCGTGCATGTGTGGGCGGCTCCCTGACCCCCGGCGGGCGCCTTGCTCGGTGCCAGGCTGTCCATGGGCCCCGAGGAGCACAGGGCGTTCTGGCGCGATGTGCAGTTCACCGTGGACAAGGATGTGGTTCGGACAGACAGGAGCAACCAGTTCTTCCGAGGCGAAGGCAACCCCAACGTGGAGAGCATGAGGTACCCACCATGCCCCTGGGGCCAGGAGCCCTCTGGGAAGTGGATTAGCAGCAGCAGCTCCTGGGGAGGATGTGGGTCTTCTGGGTTCACATAGTCACCCCAGAGGCAGAGGATCGTTAGCTATTTGAGCCAACTTCAATCAGCCCCCATGGCCGTCGTGCCCCAGGGAAGCCCCGTCCTCTGGGCATCCACTAAGCCTGTCCTTGCTCCGCTCACACGAATGGCAGCTGAGCCTCCCCTGGTGTCTCCCAATGGGTGGTCCTCCCGGTGGTGAAGCCACGCAGAGCCACAGAGCCAAGGCTGGCATCTTTGACATTCTGCTGCCGCCTGGCAAATAATTGTGCAAAATTAGCAGCCCATAAAAATGTGCCTGCCAGCCCACCCTTTGTCACAGGCAGTCGACCATTAAGAAAATCAGACCCACATTCCTCCTTCCCCCTGCACTTGAGGCCTGGGCCTGGTGAGTGGCTAATTGCAGGCCATTACCTTCCCCGATGCTGAAGAGGCCGTCCCCAGAGCTGCCCTCCTGCCTCTGAGATTGAGGCAGAGGGCAGGGCGTCCAGGCAGCTCCGGGTTTCCAGCCTGGGGTTCTGCTGGCCCAGACGACATGCCCCCAAGAGGGTAGCAGAGGTAGGCCATGTCGCGGGCACCCTCACTGGCCTCCCTGCTCTCTGCGCTCTGTCACCAGGAGAATCCTGCTGAACTACGCTGTGTACAACCCATCCATCGGCTACTCACAGGGCATGTCGGACCTGGTTGCACCCATCCTGGCCCAGGTCCTGGATGAATCAGACACCTTCTGGTGCTTTGTGGGTCTGATGCACAACACAATCTTTGTCAGCTCTCCTCGGGACGAAGACATGGAGAAGCAGCTGGTGAGGCTTGGGGACGTGTGCGGTGGAGAGCCGTGAGAGAGGTATTGGTGGCCACGTGTGACATGGCTGCTGTGGGTCATGAGGCAGCAGAAAAGCCAGTGGGGTATAGGGGCCTTATCCCTGGGCCTTTGGGGAGGGGCCAGCTCCCTGGTCCCAGAACACGGCCGCCACCCCCACCCCACCCTCTGGGCTGTGCAGGGCCCTCCCTGGTGGCCTCTCACCTCCTGCACATGGCATCCCAACCCCGGGCTCCCTGGCCGATGAGGAAGAGGACCCCACCACACCTGGCCCTGAGCTTTGGAAAACGGGTCCTCAGGTGCATCTGGGCTGCTCCCTGCAGGGGTTCCACACAGCCAAGGCTACTTAGTGGGGAGAGGTGGGGAGGGGCTGCTGAAGCCACCCTGGGGCTCACTGGGCAGCTGTCACCCCCCCCAGGACAGCAGGCCTTTTCTGCAGTGCCCAGCCAGCACCCCTCCCTCGATGGCCTCCCCGAACCTACACAGACCAGGCAGCACTGAATGTTGGGGGTTGGTAACCGTTAGGGGGCCATTGAATTCTGTGGGTGGGAGAGCAGAACACAGCAGAGGATTTGAGGAAAGGGAGCCAGGAGGTGTGGATTGGAAGGTGGGGGACCCCTGGGGGGTTGGGGGCGCCTGTGAGGGAGGGGGTTGGCCACATGTGTTGACTTGACCCTGCTGTGGGCCGCAGGGTGGAGAAACTGGCGGGTGGGGACAGATCCTCAGAAACAGTTCCTATGAGGGGCCCATGAGACCCATTCTTGCCTCAAGCAGGAACAAAGGGCCACTTGTGTGGGAAGGGGCCTGTGAGTCACCGAGCCCCCACCCCAAGATCCCCGGGCTGTGATCTTGAGAGCGTGTGATCCCAGCCAAGCCCACTCTCCACATCCGTGTGACGTCAGGTTTCCACGGTACCTGGGGAGGCAATTACGGGGTCTGACGCCACTTGTCCCTGACGTGCTCCAGCCCCACACAGCCCCGTGACTCATTAGCTGCTGCAGATTGATTTTCCAATGGCGCTGGTGAAGTCAGCAGCCAGAAATAGCCTCAAGCTTGTCCCACGTCACTGGGTGGTGACCTTAAGTGCAGCAATTGAGTGTCCTAGGGTTCAGAACTGCCCGCTCTCTGTCCTGGAGCAGCTCCAGGAAATGGTGGGTCTCCATGATCTGAGTGGAGGAGGATGGTTGAACCCAGAGTTCCCAGGAAGCAGGGGATGTCAGAAACAGCCTCCACACTGCCACCGAGGCCCAGGGAGACTTCCCAGCACAGAGCCACTGTTAGCCTACCCGTCCACAGCAGGGTCCTATGCTCCACCTGCCCTGGGCCACACCACGGCCTCCAGAGCAATCTGAAATGTGGGATAAACTGGCAAAGAGGTGTGAGTCAGGGGCAGAGTAAAGTACACAGGTGCCGACACATGGGTACAGAGGGTCCTTGCGCATGGCACGCCTGCTTTGCATGCGTGGGCCAGCCCCAGGGGGAGCGGGCGTCCTGGGTCAGGCAGGCAGAGCGGCCTAGCGCTGGGGGGCTGACCCTCCCTGCCTCATCCCAGCTGTACCTGCGTGAGCTGCTGCGGCTGACACACCTGCGCTTCTACCAGCACCTGGTGTCACTGGGCGAGGACGGCCTGCAGATGCTCTTCTGCCACCGCTGGCTGCTCCTGTGCTTCAAGCGCGAGTTCCCTGAGGCTGAGGCCCTGCGCATCTGGGAGGCCTGCTGGGCCCATTACCAGGTGAGCTGCGGTGGGGCGCCGAGGGGAGGACCATGTCCTGGAGCGAGTCACCATCCTGCGTGCTGCCTTTGAGGACAGCAGGGTGCCAAGATAACCATGCTCTCTCCCTAGGGTCCCCCTCCTCCAAAACCCCTGAGCCCCCACAGGCCCCACGTCAGCCCCTCACGCTGCGACTGCCTGCAGTCCCACATGGCTGGCGTCAGACTTCCCGAGGAAGTGAAATCGATGCAGATTGCCCACTGACTGTGCTCATCACCACGTTCTGGGCTGAGCTTGCTCTTGTCACAGCCAATCAGCGTGAAAGACATTTCCGAGGCCAAACAGGCCCACTGTAGCCCTGCACGCTGGCGCCCACCCGCCTTCTCCCCTTGGGACAGCTCAGGGAAGGGGCCGAGAGCCCAGGACCAGCCCGCGTTCCCTCTCAGTGATGTCGACTTCTAGTTGCCATCCACCATTATCAGCGTCTCATGAGTGTTCAGTCACTGGCTCTGTCACATGGCTTTAACGCCCAAGTTAGTGACAAGCTGGCGACATTAAAGGACAGACAAGTCTCTTTGAATCCATCAGCCTTTAAAAAAAAATAGGGTTGATGCATCCGTGAGGTGGCCAGGACCCTTTTTGCAGGACCTGTTCTCACCATGGCTGCTTGGAGGATGCAAACCTTGCAGGTAGTCAGGCATAGGCATTTCCCCTCCTTTCTAATGTCACAGCAGGGTGACATCTGATAAGAGAGTCTGAAGAAAAGTAGTGCTGGTGCTACCTCGGTCCTCAGCGCCTCCCACGCTCGCTCGCTCGCCTGGCCCAGGTCTGGCTTGGTCGCCCACCTGGATTAGCCAGCTCAGCAACATGTACGTTCAGGGTGAACTGTCTGCACTAATCAGAACAAGTACTGGCACAGACGGTCCAAAACGCTGGATCACATTGTTTTTCCATCGTGTCTGCTCTGCAAGGCCCCACTGCATGTTTTTCCAGCAGCAAAAGCGCCACCCTCATTATTACATCATGTTTAGGCTAATGTTATACGTGAACCCTGAGCATCACCCAACAGACGCAGCCGTTTCTCATGGTGATTTCATCACTGTGCCCTGGTAAGAATTCCAGGGTGGAGACCAGTTGGAACAACTCTCTTGGCCGCCATTTTTCTCCAAGTCCACAAATCAAGTTCACATAATTTTCAGACTTCGGACTACATTTGGCCCTTCCCCTTGATCAAATTATTAGCAGGGGAGTTTTGGGGTTGGGGGGTGGTAGGATAATGGTGGCGGGAGGGTGCGCCAATTCCACAGCAGTGAGCTCTGCTGAAGGGGTCGCTACCACATGGTGCCTTTGACTTTGAAAGTGACCCCTGAATGAGAAAGGCTCTAGACTACCCACTTGCTTCCAGTTTGCCCACAGCAGCTGGGCTGTCCCAGGCTGTGTCCCCAGAACTGAAATTAGTCCTGTACGTCTGTCCAGCCCTATTTAGGCCACGTGCCCTCTTTCCCTCGCCATGCTCCTCTGAATACACCCACCTTCCTGGAACCCTTCTGCTGTCTTCCCACCCCAGCCAGAGTTCAAGTAGCTGCAGAACCCAAACAAGACCATTCCGGATTAGCTCGGAGGAAGGGCTGCAGTGTGGGGGCCCACAGCCTGGGGGGCATTCTCTCCAGGGCATGTGGGGCGTTGCTGCCATAACCTCTGCCCGCGTTGTGGGCCCCACCCTGCCCTGTTTAGAAGCGCGGCTCCGTCTGGCTGGGTGGTCGACACTGGGAGACTAGACCCGGGCTTCCTGGTGCTCCTTGTCCTTCCTGTGCTCCTGGAAGCGCATGTGAACCAAAGGCCACGTGCCCTCAGAGCATCCGGACAGGACGGAGCAGGATGCACCAAGGTCAAGACCAAGCGCCGGCTTCCTGCTGCGGGCCAGGCGTTGCCACTCCATGCCGACCGTCGGGGGGCTGCCATGCTCACTCTTAGCATCTCCTTCCGACTTTCTTGGCGACAAACCTGAGTCCTCTCTGGGGCAGGAGTTGGGACGTTTAGCCTGAAGGCAGGAGGGCGCTGACCAGTGGGTGGCTGCCAGAGGGTTCTTTCTCGCTGGTGTGTTCACGAGCCACTGGGGTATGTTCTGACCCAGCCTTTGGCACTCACTGTCCCTCAAGACTGTTGCCAGTAAGCCTTCAGAGTGAGCACGGGCCAGCCTTCAGAGGAAGTGTGTCCTTTGCCCCCATGTCAGCGAGCACCCAAAGGCTCCCCAAAAGAGCAACCGCAGCCCAAGGGAGGCCAGCGCCAGCATCTCTTCGAGTGTCATGGCAGCTTGTGGTACTGGCTGTCACAGGAACTGACAATTGGCTCATTTGCGGGTAGGAAACAGGAGAAAGGTTGCGTGGCTTGCCCAGGGCCACGTAATGCACCCGGACAGCCTCACTGCACCTCTGCACTCAGCCTCCACCTGGAGGCAGGGCCCGGGGCCGGGTGAGAGGCCTTGTCTGAACCCCACTCTCCACACCCCCCAGACGGATTACTTCCACCTTTTCATCTGCGTGGCCATTGTGGCCATCTACGGGGATGATGTCATTGAGCAGCAGCTGGCCACCGACCAGATGCTCCTGCACTTCGGGAACCTGGCCATGCACATGAACGGGGAGCTGGTTCTCAGGAAGGTGAGTGCCCGCCCCCCACACTTACAGAGCCCCGCCCCCCACTCAGGCCCCGCCCCCACGTGCTGCGCTGAGGGAGTTCCAACCAAGGTCCAGTGGTAGGTGCCTGTGGCCATGGCTGGGGCTTGGCTGCCCCGTCCCTCAGGGCCCACCACTGTCCCGTGGGTCCTGTCACTGCAGCTGGACCAGGGGTCCCGCCGTGCTGGAGTTTAATGGGACACTGCAGCCTGGCACATGGTCAGCCCACAGGTGCTCTTTGCCCACCCGCTGTTCCCCTGCCCCTCCTCACTGCCTGTCTCTCTCTGCAGGCAAGGAGTTTGCTGTATCAGTTCCGCCTCTTGCCCCGGATCCCCTGCAGCCTTCATGACCTGTGCAAGCTGTGTGGGACAGGCATGTGGGACAGTGGTTACATCCCCGCCGTGGAGTGCACGGGCCACCACCCGGGGTCGGAGAGCTGTCCCTACGGGGGCACGGTGGAGACGCCTTCGCCCAAGCCCCCCAGAGAAGGCAGGAAGGGCCCAAAGACGCCTCGGGAAGGCTTTGGTTTCCGCAGATAGGTTGGGCTCCCTGTACTGGACAAGGGTTGAGGGGACCTTACTAGAGGTCCCAGGCATGTGGGAGGGGGTGGGGATGGCATGGAGGGGACGGGGGATGGTAGAATCATAAGGAAAATGCCTTTGGGCAAAATGAAGGGAACCTTTCCATATTAACGATGAAAGCAGAATCCGGAAGTGAGAGAAGTAAGTCCTGACAGCTGCCCAGAGAACAGTCAGCTCCCAAAACAATGGGAGGAGGACACGTAGCCCCTCCAGCTGGAGACGCAGGTTGGCTGGCTTCTTGTGTTGCCTTCCTCTGATGCAGGTCCATAGGACCCAGGAATTCCTCCAGCTTCCTCAGCAATCTCAGGGTATTGGCAGGCAGTGGGGAAGGCAGAGTCAGGAAACGGAGGTCTAGCTCACCCGCCAGTGCCAGGGGAAACAGAAGAGAGAGGGTTCCATCCAGCTCCAGAGACGTCATTGCAAGCTGGACACTCCTCTTCACCAGCCCTTGTTCTCGGAGCAAACCAAACAGACTTCCCACAGCTTTTCCACCCACAGCTGCAATGCTGATGTGAAGATGTCTGCCAACAAAAGGAAAAGATGCCCCACTGATTTCGGGATAGTGAGGTGTAAGAGTGGTGGGGGTTTGAGAAGCTGGGGACTGTCACGCTGCCCATTTAAAGATTTTATACTCCTGGTATGTGAAGGAGACTGCCTGCCTATGAGCCTGAGCAGTGAGCCGCAGCCCTCTTCCTTAGCCGGGGAGTTTCTACCTGAGGTTCTTTGTATTGTTTAAGGTCAACCCCACCAAATACAGCAACCAGCTGGGGGCTGGATGGGCTGAGGGGTGTGTGTGTGTGTGTGTGTGTGTGTGTGTGTGTGTGTGTGTGTGTGTGTGTGTGTGTGTGTGCGCGCGCGCACACGTGCACACGCATGTGGTCGCAAATCTCTTTGAAGAGAATCTGCCGTGTCCGAGGGAAGCTATAGTATTAACTGACCAACCAAGACAAAGCACCTGAAACTAGCCAAAAAGACTCCCACTTCCCCGCAGGGCCTTCAGCCTCCTGTGACCTGGGTGTTCTCTAAGTCAGCATTGGATACAAAGGCGACCACAGTAAAGTAGCCGGCTCTCAGGGCACCTCTGTTCTGGGTGGGAACCAGGTCTTCCCAGCACCCTCTCCCACCTCCAAAAGATCTTATACCAGTTGCATCTGGGATTTACAGATGGGCAGACCGGGCGTGGGGAGCTCCCAGCCAGCCATTTGCACAGAACCCCACTGCCTGGGCTGGTGGAAGTATGGCGACTTGAATCCCCTGGCGTGTCCTGGGGAGAAAGATCTTTGAAGTGCTGAGAGTCATGGAGACACAGCCCCAACTGAGAGCTTCTTCCCACCCAGCCTTTCTCACTGGATGGAGCCTGAAGGCTCCAGGATGGCGCCATCCACCTTAAACATCTAAAAAGATGTTTATCAACAGGAAGGAGGAAGTCAGCAGCCGGCTCCTCCCTTCTCAGCTTCTCTGCTTCACCAGCCCACGTCTTCCACCCGGCAAGGCGACTGAGACTGGCACTTTCAAGTTCCCGGTCCCTCTGCCCAAGAGCTTTTTGGGGAGACCATCCTGGAGCCCCATCAGTGCCCAGATCTTGAGGTACTGACCATTGCAGTCTAGTAGCAGGGGTCCCGGCTGGGTAGGGATGGACCTCTCATCTACTTTGCTTCTGGGAAAAGAGCACTGCGTTGGTTTCTGTGTTGGCTCCTGCTCTGTTGTGGAACTGGCTCAAGTTGACCAGATACTACGCGGACCCTCTAGAAACCACACCCCCATGAACAGGGGTACCAGTCAGTCACCCATTGCCACAGTAATGCTTCATTACAGCCCTAAAACTTGGTGGCCTCGAACGGCATGCACTTGTCTTGTACACGAGCCTAAAAGTCAGTGGTTTAGGCCGGGCAGTTCTTCCAGTCTGGGTTGGACTTGCTCCTATGTCTGGGGTCAACTGGCTGCTACGTCCCAGCAGGCTGCTCACCTGTGTAGAGAAGTCAGACTGGACGCTGCCCCGTGTCTCCTGCATCCCTCCTGCAGGGCTAGCCAAGGCAAAGGTGCAGAAGCGGAAACGTGCAGACGCGTTTCCAGGGGGACGGCATGGCTGGGAGTTCAGGGAGGGGTGAAGATCTGGGCGGTGGGTACAGTCTCACCACCAGGATGTCCTGGTCCAAGTACAAGTGTTTTGGAACACGCCTTGTCCAGCGGCACAATGTCCCCTGGGGAGGCAGGGGACGCCTAAAGAAAGAAATGCTCCTCCCGTCACACTCCAGCAGGAGAGTGCTGTGCATTGTTCTGAGGCGCCTTGTGCCTTTGGGCTGCTGGGGGGGCGGGTGTCCAGGGAGCCCCTTATGTGGAGGGTCCTGGTGCAGAGCATTTATTCTGAATCTCCTGGCTCTCACAGCACCCCATGTCCCTGTACCAAGTGCCACCCCTGCGCCCAGTGCTCCCCCCTCCCACCCTGTGGGCTGGCCGGGGCCCCGGTGATAGCCAGGCCTCCGGCAGCAGCCAGGAGGAGCTCCACAGCCCAGGACCTGGTTGTGTGGGCTCCCTGGACAGCTGCTCTCAGCTCCAGCTCAGAAGGATGGAGAGGGCCCCTCCCTTAATCTGGATGCAATTAGAGGAAACCAGCCAAAAACCCTGAGGCAGCTGTTGCCCCAGGATTATTCCCAGTCAGCAAAAGACATTAGGGTGATAATTCAGTCATTAGACTTCTAGCCTTCCCACCGCCAGAACGTGCAAATACGGGGTAATCAGCCCGCCCGGCCGTCCTCCGCAATGCTGCTTATTTAACCCATTTTTTAAAATGACACTTAATGTTATTGGCCAGCGTGCGTGTGCGCGCATACTTAAAAGTTTCCCCACTGCTCATGTCTGCACCGACATTACACGATATTGTTGGACCTCTGGGAAGAGGGGGCGCCTTTGACGTGCACGTGCTGGCTCGGAAGGGGTGGCAGGTCAGGGCCTCGCCGGCCAGGGAGGACTTGCTCCCAGGGAAGGGGAGACGACAGGAGGAAGCTGGGAGGGTGGTTGTGTTGGGGTCGGCGATCTGGGCTGGAACAGGGAGGCTGATGTCCTCACCAGGTGCAGAGGGGGACAGTGTGCTATTCCAGAACGTTCCAAGTCGAGTCCCAGCCAGGACGATTTGGAACTCACAAGTCATGGGAATCTGACTCCCTGCGCCAGTTGGAGGCGGGGGTTTTGGAGGGGCCCAGCCCGCCTCGCAGGAGGAAGGTCAGCGGTCCAGAAGAGGCCGTCCCACTGGCAGCCTTGATCTGGATGCCGACAGTAGGCAGCTGTGTTGTCCCAACCAGCCAAGTTTCAGACAGGATGGAGGGTTTTGAATCCAGGACCAAGTGTCCTTTGAGTTTTCCAGAAGAGCCCTACCTGTTTGGGGGCAGGCAGCTGGACAAGATAGAGATGCTGATTTTGAAATGTGGGCTTCCCCTGGGCTAAGTGGCTGTGGCTGGCAGAGGTCACCCAGCTCCAACCTTTGACAGGTGGACATAGGACATGGGGCAGACTGTGTACCATGGCTGGAGGCAGAGGCCCGGGGCCTCTGTGGTTCTCCCCTCGGTTTCTGTGCGTTCCCTCTGGGCTCTCCTGTCGGTTCTTATTGGGTAGAAATTGGAGGAAGGTGGCCCCCAGGGTGGTAGGAGGCTGCTCGTGGCTGTGTCTTGCAGGGATCCCTGGCTGGAGGGTGTCAGGGATGCCTGGGTTCACCAGGCAAAGGAAAGGAAGCCTCTTCCGGTTTGTCTGTCTAGCAGAGGCCCCTGCAGACCACCCTGACCCAGGAAAGAGAAGCTCCCTCAAGAAAACCCACACGTGTGCAGATGTGCGTCCTGGTCCAAAGGTGGGCCCAGACTGGCCGTTGAGGTCCGCCACAGCCCAGGGAAGGGAGGGTGCCCACAAGTCTGGCCTGAGGCTGGGCACTTCCCCAATTAGCCCTGCGTTTCTTATCCAGGCAGCAAGGCTGTCCCTTGCTGGAGTAAAAGCATTCTGTCCCTGGCTCATCAGGGACTGTCCCAAACCAAACAGCGCTTGTCCCCCAAAGTTGTGAAGCTGGAGAACAGGGCTCCCCTGATGGGAGTAAGCAATGCTGCATTTCCGGAAGACACTTACCTAGGGATCAGGACCTGGTTCTTGTCCTGCCTTTGACCCTTCCGGCGTACCTGGTTTTCTGCCTCCCTGAGCCTCAGTTTTCTCACCTGCAAATGAGAATGGTGACTCCCACACAGCCCACCCCGCAGGGCAGGACGGCG